CAATACATTTCCATTACATTATTCAAAATCAATAAGATTTGCCCAATTAGTTTATGTAAATATTTATGTTCCAAATTAAATCTAGAAAAACCATTTCAAACATATGAAGTAAACCTCCATATAAACCCCAACGTAGTTTCACCTTAAAACCATCCAAGAGAAAAGCATATTCACTGTTTCTTCTTATTTTCACAAATTCAAATCTACAAAGAAAAATGAAAACCGTTACACTTGTTTTTGCTATCATTCTCTTATCAAGCTGTGTCACATCTCAATTTCTTGAGCCAACAGATTATGAAGACCTCCAGTGGTGGAATTCCCCTGACATGCCACTCTCGAATACCAAGGGCCATCACTTCCGTCCATCATCGGAATTGGCCATATGCTTTTATGATCACAAGAAGGTAACAAAATGTCTCACTCAGGCATTCAAAAGCAAACCCACCATTGGTTCCGAATCTTGTAATTGTTGCGCCGCGATTAAAACCTTAAATGAAGATTGTGAGAAGACTGCGTTTGGATCATTCCGCAATCCTTTTTTCAACTACTATGTTAAGAAACATTGCTATACCCAAGGTGGTTCTACTCCAGCGGCTCCCTCTCCGGCTTAGGGTTTATTTAAAGTATTGATGAGTTTTAACAGAGTTTTTATCAATCAAAAGAGTTTATTTTGAAACTTTTCTAAATTATTGTTACTCATTATAAAATGATAATACAAGTTCGCATAATTTGCTTTTGGTTTTTAATTTATCTCAGATAATTAAGTAATAATGAAATATATCTTTACAATTGGTTTCATGCAATTGGATAAATGCGTAAAGCCAGATAATACAAATTGGATTTCAATTTAGGAGTTTGGTGAATCAGTTAGACTACAAAGAGAATTTGATCAATTCGACATTCGTATAATGAAATTGCGATTGTAAGGAAACAAAAAAAAATTGTGATTGTAATCGTTTGAAACCAATATTACAAAACGATTTGTCAGTGTCTTAACGCTACAACACTACAAACTATACTTTTTTATATCTCTTAGAGTTTACATTGACGAAATAGTTGCAATCAATGGTGGAT